TGCAGCCCATCGCTAAACGTGCCCTTGTCCCCCTTTGCTGGTGCGCGGCGACACCCGGCCCAGCACCTGGGGCACGTAATGCGCTCAGGCACCGGGAACGGGATCACCACGACCTCCGGGCGATCCTCGGCCATAGTGAAAATTGTGAAAAATGTGAAAAAAAGTGAAAAAAAAGTGCTGTGAGAACACACGCGAGTGACGAGGCTTAGTATCGGTACGGCGACCGCGCTCGCCTCGGTTTTCCGCAGCACGTAATCGTACCCGGGTCCCCGCGACAAGCTAATGTCACTCGTACGTCACGCGCCGACGTCCCCGACACAACGCGCGCACCCGCACAGCCGAAAAATCTCTAATTTAATTGTAATTTGCAGATAAAAATCCGAGCCGGTGAGGTTATGTGTGGATCTGCCTGTCACTACCAGTGCAAGGTGAGGCTTCACCAGCGCGCGTCCACCAGGTGTCCGCAGCACTGGATCGTCCTCACGATGGAGATGACAGGCTTCACTTCCTGTCAACACAACCGCCGACCCGGATATGAGAGCAGAGAGGAAAGTCTCAGCGAGGGCCAAGTCAGCAGTCGCAGAGTCACCGCTGAGATCTGCCCACAGCAAGCTGAGGACTTCTCCCAGCAGCAGCACTACGACCACCTCACTCCTGGTAACCCCGCCTCCTCTATTCCTCTCTTTATATACCTATTGAATAAAGTTCAGCGAGCACGGCCCCGGCAGAGACTCTGTTCTCGAGCCTGTTGACTACTCGGCTTAGTCAACCGCGCACAGTCACACTCGCGTAATAGTGAGAGAGAATTATACTGCACAGCGATCCTGAGCTTTAAATAAATAAATTAATAAATTAATTCATTAATCTCCAGGCTTACTTCCGGTTCTTGTTGTTATTTATTACTTTGCTTCCTTCCAGTGCCTCACCGCTGCCTAACTGTGACACAGCAGCAGCGGTCTCCCAACTAACAACTCAAATTACTAATAAATCAGCAATAACTGCTCAATACAATAATAATTGGCACTAGAAGGAAGCCGCCGGAAGCATCCACGCAGCGGCAGCCACTCCTAACCCACCAGGATGTTACAAAGTGTCATACAAGAAAAGTGACACTTTTAGGTTAGGAGGGCCAGGCAGGTATGCTGTGTTGTTATAAATAATTATTGAAATTATACAGATATGATGGAAATCTCTTGCACCCTGCCTCACCGACACCGCTGCATGGCAACAACCTGGAGATGGCCAAGGGAGAAGAGGCACACGAGGTAACAGAAATAGTCAGCGGTGGATGTCGGTATGTCTCACCGCTGACTTACAGGTGTGAGGCTTTTAACTAAGAATCTTTGGTTTTCACTATACTATAATACTTTACAGCCTCACACCATAAGAATCAAACTAATTATGGTGTTTTTCTGTCACCCCATGACACCCCATGGCAGTGCAGGCGCAGTATGACACAGCACAATGTGCTATGTCGCT